GTGCCTGAAAATTCCTTGTCACCTGGCTCTTGGCTATTTATATTTTGTTCATCCAGCATTGACTTCAGTTGAGTTAAGACACTGAGACCAACACAGAGTGGGCACTAGGTAAATAGAGATTGAATGGATGGGTGGAAAAGGATTTGCTACTGAGAATGATTGATTGGCTGGATGGGCACATTAAATGATGAAGTGATGATGGATGGATAAACCAATGGATGGATGATATATGTGTTGGTGAATGGATGGAAAATGGGGTTAAATTTGGCAATGACCATATTGGCTTGCAGTCCCAGATTCCCTCTGTATGACACTCCAGTCTCTTCCCTTGATACCTCTAGCTCACAGACAACCTGTCACAGGCTTCTGCTTACCTGCCTGTACCTTGGCCTGGTATCCCCATTCAACTGTCTCATGTAGGGTGGTAGATATGGCTGGTTTCTGGTCTTTGCCATCCTCAAATTTGGCCTTCCCTGTCCCAGGCACATCCAGTGGTGCCAATCATGGTCAAAGCCGGGAGCAGGCAAGGATGAATGTCAGTTTGGAGAAGGCAGAGGGTGGTGTCCTAGAACGCAGGGTAAGTCAGCCCAGGGCCCACCCTGCATTTCCATTCTGTTCTCTAGAGGGGTAAGCTCCTTGCCTCTGAAAGCTTGCTTTGCTTTTGCTTTTATGAAAAATAATCAAAGCTCAAATGTGGCTGAGTTTCTGAAAGTCAGTAGGCAAGAAGCAAAGGAAAGGACCCAGACGAGATGGAGATAATATTCAATGCCGCTAACTGAGATAGATCTAATTAAAGCACATCTTTAAAGCGTAGACCTGGAAGCCAGCTCCTGAGGGAGGGATAATCTCTGAAATGGATGGTCCTTCCATAGTGAGCGGCTAATGATGGGACACGTACCCTGGCTGCTTCTCTTCTACAGCAGCCCAGCTGCTGAGATGAAGACTCTGGCTTCCATCTCTGATCTCCTCTTCCAGGAACCTAGAGTCAGGGCTCTGAGGTGACACGATGAATGATAGGATGAGACCTTTCTGTAGCAGAGACCTTGCCTTCCCAGGCTTTTTGAGTGGCTTTTCTGGATCCATGCCCACTTTCCTGTGGAACGGAAGGTACCCATCCTTCGGATGTGCTTGCTACCTACCATTTCTTTATTTTTTCCTTTAAAACGTTCCCATCTGCCACCAGCCTCCTGGTGCACTTTGCTATCACTACTTAACTCCTTCCACTCCTTCTGGTATGCTATCCAGGATAAAATCCTGAGGCACATTGAAGGCAACAGCAGTTAGGGCTCTTGGCAATTGAATATGGCCCTATCTCCCACCCATATGCTAAACCTCAGCTGTAGTTCTTTTGCTTTTATTTTTTAAATAATAGAAAATGAACCATTAACCATTTTAAGGTGTACTATTCAGTGGCATCCAATAAAGTCACAATGTTGTGTGATCACCTCTGCTGAGTTCCAAGACACTTTCATCCCTGAAGGATGATACAGTCACTCACCATTGGAAGTCACTCTCCTTTCCTCCCTCTTCCAGCCCCTGGCAACCACCTTGCCTTCAGTCTATATGAGTTTGTCTATTCTGGACATTTCATATATGAATGGCCCTCAAAATGTTCATGGAAGACGCTTATTATGAAAAAGCTATGCATGGATTTCAAAATATTTTGAACCCAAACAAACTTGTACTTTGATTCCATTTTTCCATGATCTTTATGAAGTCCCTTCATAAATGGAATCATATACTATGCAACTTATTGTGACTGGCTTCTTAGCATGATACTTCTGAAGAGTCATCCATGTTTTAGTGTGTATCAGTACTTCATTCCTTTTTATGGCCAAGTAATATTCTATTGTATGAACATACCACATTTTATTTATCCATTTTTCCCTCAACAGATAATTGGGTTATTTCCACCTTTTGGCTACTGTGAATAGTGTGGTAAGGATTGGTTTGAATTTTTATTTGTAATTCTCTTGGCTATATATCAAGGAATAGCTAAGTCATATGATGACTCTGTATTTAACCTTTGAAAAACTGCCTTGGCCCTGGTTTCCTCCCTCCCTTCCTTCTTTTTTTCCTTCCTCCTTTCTTCCTCCTAGTTCTTCCCTTCCTTCTTTCCTTTTTCTTTTTTTATCTTATGACAGGTTCTTTTTATCTCCAGTCTTACTGGTTCCTCCTGCCTCAGCTTCGCTAAGTCACTAGAACTACGGGTGCACACCCCAACACCCAACCCTTAGGTTGGACCAGGAACCAATCAACGTCTCGGTTTGATTCTGGTCCCAGCCCACAGAATGCAGAGTCTTTGCACATGTCACTGAAGTTTGGCCTTGCCCCTGGATCTACTGTGCCCCTTCATTGCTTCATGTCTTACTGTTCCTCTGTGTTGTGTCCCTCCTTTCTTCCTCACTTGACAAACTTCTATTCATCTTTCTGAACTCTGCCCAAGTGTTCCACCCTCTTGGCAACCTCCACGCCCGATATGCAGACTTAGGTACAGATGCTGTGGGCTCTGCAGAGGCCGATGCTGCAGCTCCTGTAATTTATTGCAGTTGTCTGTTCACTCTCTTCTCCAGGTTGAACTGGTATTCTTTAAGCACAAGGGACAAGCCTGGGTCATGTTTGCCTCCCTCTACTGCCATGGCAGGTGCTAATGCCACGTTCTCATGGAGAAATGAGTGAATGGTGTGGGTTCATATGTGGAGCATAGGGTTGGGATCTCTGGAGTCTTCAGTACGGAGGTTCTGGGAGGCAGTGGCTGCAGTGCTGAGGTCCAGAATGCCCTGGAATGGCTTTGCTTGGCTCCTGGGCAGCACTGACATTTGTCTTCTTTCCTCTCAGTATGCGGTGGCCAGCTGTGGGCTCCGTGCCAGCATTGTCATGCTTCATTAAGATTGCTTTTGTTGCTATGTGTTGAGGTTTTCACTGTTGCTAGGATGTCTTTTGTTTCATATATATCTCACCATTTTTCTCCCCTGGCAAATAATCAGCACCCAATTAATTCTGAATTTCTCATTGTTTGCTCCAGCTGTCGAGCTCCTTGCATGCACAAAGAATGATTGTCCAATGTTTTCTCTGTAATGAACTGTGAGAGTCTACTGGGTCACTTCTGGCTTTCAAGGAAAGAGCAAGAGAAAGACAGACACAGAGACACATGGAGAGAGTGAAAGAGAGACAAAGAGAAGGAGAGGGAGGGCAGAGGCATAGAGAGAGGCAGGAAAAGAGAAACAGCTCTATATAGAGAGAACAGAGCGACAAACAAAACACACAGAAAGACACAAAAATATTTGGAAACACACAAACAGGGTTACTGTCACAAATGGACACACACAAATGCATAGCAAGAAACATACTTATAAAGACATGGATACGCACACAGTGAGAGAGACAGAAAGAGAGAGAGAGATTGCTCCAGCACACACAGACTGATGGAAAACTAAACAACCAGAAAACCAGACACAGAAAGAGAGACAGGGAGAGACACACAGAACGGTGATAGAGAGTCAAGGGAGACAGAGAAAGAACCAGACAATGGATGACTGGTACCTGTAAGAGACTGTGCGGCCATGGTGTAGCAGCTGGTGTTGGTATAACAATGACAAGTTCCGAGTTACTGAAGACCCATCACATACCTGGTGCAGTTATAGGAGCAATTCAGGTATTATAGCCACAAACTTGCTGCAGGAGCAATGCAGGTGTCACCTCCTTTAACACTCCTGACATCCCGGGACATAGGTACTGTTAGCATCTCCATTCTCAAAGTGAGAAAACCGAAGCTTAGAACTAAAATATACACTCGTGACCACCCAGCTAGCAAAAAGCAAGATGAAATTCTAAGCCCAGGATCATCTGCCTCTAAAGCCCAAGTTCTTAACCCCTACATTCCAATACCCAGAAGACCTGCAACTGGGTATCATTTCTACTACCTAATAGCTGGATGTACAGCCATGGCCAAGCCCCTTTGCCTCTCTGGGCCAGCCTTGTTGGGGCTGAAATGTGACTGACTGTATTCCAGGATACTGCATGTGCTCATTCTCTCTCCAAGCCCAAGCTGAGACTTACCTGGCTTTCATTACTAAGTTTCTGCTCCTGGTAATTTCTATACCTCCTAATTCTCCATAGAACTGTCCTTCTATATGATTAGGAAACCCACTGGCATCTTCTCCATTCTCTTTGCAAGAGAGAGGTTGAGGTTGCCTTGAATGGAGAAGGGGGCAAGAAGTTTGCTGTTGGGAAGGAGTGTGTTTGCCTGGGACAGAGAGGGCTGTAAAGAGTTGGGAGGATGGGACAATCCCAACTTGGGCTTAGACATACAGACGAGAGCATCCTGGTGTCCACATCAGGTGGAACACCTTGTCTTCTCCCAGGAGGGCTGCAATTGGGTGGGGCATAGTGGATGTTAAAGAGGTGGGAGGTCACTTACTTCCTGCTCTGTGTCTTGGGCCCAGTTGGGCGTGGCTTTGATGTATCACTACTGAATGTTAACTATATCTTACTTATCTGTTTGGCCTGCCTCCTTCTCTAGAATATAAGTCTCATAAAGGCAGAAGTTTTGTTTTTTTGACTACTGAATCTTCAGGGTCCTGGATATAGTATTTAATTAATAAATGTTTGTTGAATGAATAAATGCAAATCTCTATCTACTGTGATTCTTAGACCATCAATATTTCCAGAGGTTTTCCCTCCTCTGGCTGAGGTGGGGTGGTGGATGCTGCAGAAGCTAGAGAAATGTCATGGTTTCATTTAAGAACAACACTGTGGAAGCTGCAGTGAGCTTTTGAACAGTAACATGTGATTTATACTTTAGAAGGATGACTCTGGTGGTTGTTGGGAGGGCAGACTGGCAGGGGTGATGCTGGAGGCCAGAGCTCTAAGAAAGAGAGGAAGGTGTGATCCAACATCCGAAGGCATCAAAACCTGCAAAAGTGCTGTCAAAACAGGAAAATGCTGTGAACTTTAACAAAACTGTCAAGTTCACCAATTTTTTTTTTTTTTTTTTTCAGTTAAAGATCTTGCTTGCTTGACTGGTTTTTCCAAACTCCCAGAGCTCCCCTGAAGTCAGTCAATATGGCATTATTGTCATTTGGGGAACAGTAAACCTTTGAAAAATGCCTTTTGCGTTCTGGATTTATGGAAACCGTTTGAACTGTGGTGAGTCTTGAAGAGCGCTTCGAAACATAGTGTTTTGATTTTCTCAATAATTTCTTCAGGATCATTAGAAATGAGAATTCAAGAGCTAGGATGGATTTTTCCCATAGGCTGTATGCTTGTCAAGGAGTGTGATTTATCTGGGCACTTCAATAAGGACTTAAGGAACAAGCAAGGTGTCCTCTCAGCAGTCCTGAGGCAGCTCATTCCTGAAGCTCTGAATGCCAGCAAGTGTGGGCACTCCTGTCCCAGAGGGAGTTCAGCCTGCTCTTGCATGGTTCACAGCCCTTTCTTACCTGGAATTGAGACATTTTCATCCCTACCTCCACCTACCATCATGGCACAGAGTCGCATCAGACCAGGTGACCTTCAAATCTGGTAGGATTTCGGCATTGGAGATCCAGCTGCCAACTTACTAATTTAATTCAAACATAACTAGCCTTCATTCCAGGTGCTGGTTCTGGGAGTCTGGAAGTAGATGGGGTTGGTCAGTGTCTGGGTTTGGCATGTACAGGATACAGTGGAGTGGGAAGAGTGAAAAACCAGCAACTTATTTCCTCCATTTTTCAACCTCTCCAAGGATGGCTTGGAATGTGTCTTCAAGGGCACAATGGAACCCATGTCTTGGCTGGCAGGTGCTGACAAGGGACAAGATAGTGGTTACCTAGACCTTGTCTGGGGTCTTTACTGCCATCTGGAAGATGCTGGTTTGACATCTCACTCGTAGCAGGAGAGAAATCCTGTCCTGTCACCAGCATGGCCCCTAGGTGCTGCTTTCTAGCTGAGTCACACACGCATGCTACCAGCTCATATTCTGAGCCCTGCTCTGCTATGCCTCCTGCTGAGAATGCACTTCCTTCCTCACACATGGCCTGAAGCCACTCATATCGTAAGGTTCAGCTTAGAGGAACTGCGTCCATGCTTTATAGGACCTGTCCCAGCAGAGTGATGGCTTTGTCTGTCCTCCATACGGTCCATATCACACTGGATTTGACCACTGTCTTCCTTCCCCAGAAGACTTGAGAGTGGAGAAGAGCTCTCATTTGTTCTCGTAGCTCCAGAGCCCAGCACAGAGTGAGGCACATAGTAAATGGTGGCTGAACTGTATCAACTCGTCTAGACCTGGCGTTCTGCAGGGCTTGGTTTGAATCTTTCCTTGGTTGGTTGGTAGCTCTGTGACCTTGCGAGCAACCTGGCAAGCTCCCCAGTGTGTTTCCCCATCTCCGTACTGACCTAGAGAGGTAGAATAGCTGGTGTGTTGGAATGGGGTCTCTAAACTGGGAAAACTCCACAATAATGCCTATTGACCCGCCTCCTCTGTGCCAGAGGCAACTCTAACCACTTTACATGTATGAACTTTCTAAATGTTTACATCAGCCCTATGAGCTAGGTATTGTTCTCTTCATCCTTCCCATTATGCAGATGAGGAAACTGAGGCTCAGATATAAATCTCTTCTTTAAGACCACACATCCAGCAAGTGGCATCACCGGGGCCAGCTTGGTGACACAGTGGTAATGTGCTACGGAAGTGAAGCTGGAGCCATAGGGAAGACTGCAGGTTTGGTTTCCCAGTTAGCCTCTGCATGCTGGGGCGTGCATGCCTGTGATTCTGGCTGGCTAGGTAGGCTGTGGGAGGAAGGGTTTGTGTGTAAGATCCTGCTGAGAGTGCTTGTCTTTCACTCTCTCTGTCTCTCACTCTCATGAAAATATATAAGTAAACTTAAAAAAAAGAGAAAGTGACATAACTGGGATTGTGACTTCAAAGTTCATAATCCTGTTTTCTTGGGCATGTTGCTATTTATTGAGTGCCCACTATATGCCAAGCACTTCATTTATTTTAATTATGCTCACAGAAATGCAATCAGGTATTATTACTCTCATAAGAGACATGAGGAAATTGAGGCTCAGAGAGGCTAAGTAACTTGTCTAAGGTCACACAGCTAATTAAGTGATAGAGCTTGGATTCTACCTAACAAGCCCTAAAGCCTGTGATTTTTCTATTGGCCTCTGCTCCTTTATCCCATTAATTCTATTGCAGAGGAAACAGAAGTTCAGGACACAGAAGTGTCTAACCTAAAGCCATATGGGTTAGTAGTAGAGCCGGGATGTAACGCAACTTTAGTTAACCATTGCTTTTTAACACCACCTCTTACTAAACCTTAGTGATTTTTAAATAAGAATTATTTAATTTATTTTATTTACTGTTATTTATATTTTTAAAAATTTGCTATAGGGAACATGCATTCCAGGGGTGGGGGGGGAAGGAAAGTGAGAAAGCAAGTTGCTAGTTCTAAGACTTGAACCATGGTCAGCCATGTGTAAGAACAGTGTCTTAACTGCCACATCACCTGCTGGTCCCACCTGAGTGATTTTTATTGCCCCCAATTTGGTGGATCAGCTGCCTGCTCTATGTCAGGTGCTCTGAGCTCAAGAATTCACTGGAAGGTCAGCAGGGCTGGAGATCCAAGCTGGTCACACACACAAGTCTAGTAGTCAGTTCTGGCCACTGGCTGGGTTCCTTGGCTCACCTTCATGTGGTCTTTCAAGATGAATTTCTTCCTGTCTTCTTTTTTATTTAGAGATATTTTTGCTATAGGACATGTGTGCTTGCTGGAGCTACAGGGAGCAACAGAGAGACAAAAAGCAAGAAATCACCCCCCAGGGGGGATGGCCACACCACAATCCCTTCTCCTCCATTCTCCTCTTGGGATTTTGGGCACACATATACACATGCCTGGCATGAGTTTTAAGCTGCTGGGTCTGGGACTAGAACCATGGTCAACTATGTGGGAGTCCAGCAACATAACCATTACAGCATCTGCTGGTCCTAAGATGAGTTCTTTTGCATAATGATCTGAGAGCAAAAAGAAGGCAAAACAGAAACTGTAACACTACTTAAGGTTTGCCCCCGAAAACCCAAGCACTGCTTAGATTGAATCCTATTGGTCAATACAAGTCACAGCCCTGCCCAGGATCAAGGGGGAAGAAATAGACTCCCCTCTTTTTTTTTTTTTTTTTTAGGTTTATACATTTATTTTTTCCTTGAGCAAGAGAGACAGAAAAAGAAAGAAAGCAGGAATTCCCGACAGGTGTTGATATTGCAGTCCAACTCCAACCTTCAGCCAGCCCTGGATCATGGGTGCACATGTGCCAGAGAGGTCCCTGAACTTGCTTGCACCAGGAACCCTTCCATGTAGGATGACCTCATAGAGCATCATGTTTTACCATTGTGCCATCATCTGGCCCCAAACTCTGCCTCATAGAGAGAAGAGCTGCAAAGTCACCTCTTGAACGTGCACAGAGGAATAGCCAGGGCCACAGGGGAAGCACAAGCTTCCTAGCACTCTCGGACACTCAGTCAGTGCTCTTTCCTTTCCCTGTACTGCTGAGACTTTGCCATTCCTCTTCAACTGGTATCCGGTAGCAGTTTATTGTGCTGGATTACTCCAGTTTAGCGTGGCAAAGAAGGCAAGAAAGAACTTTTTTCTCGAGACGTCATTGAGTATAATATTTGGGAAAAACCTCAGGTCTCTGCAGATTGCCTACCCCTTCCCAATGGGGAATGACCACATTTGGCCTTGGGTGTCCCTGGGAACTTGGTCTCCACGTAGTTTCTGCCCTCTGCTGGCCTGGAAGGGTATTGTTCATTCTAATGCCCTGGGTAAAGTCAGTTTCACTGGACCAGCTTCTGACCTGCTTTCTGGTCCTTGCTTGTCCTGTCCCACCAACAGGGCACTTAATCAGCAAGTGAGATTTCCTGGCAAATCTTAAATGGCCTGAAATATCAGAATATTCCCAGCTAAGTGGAAAAACACTGCACCTGGAAGCATAAGGGGTAGGATTGAGCATCCAGAATAATTAAGAAAAATGTACACATTTTGGTTTCCTTTTGTTTTTAAGGCCAGGAGAGAACTCTGGCAGCAGGAGAATGGCTAGTAGCAGAAAATACACCTTGGGCTGAATTCAAATCAGGAAGGCCTTCCTAAGTGCTTACCTCCAGCCACCTCAGGTCACCCACGCACAGGTGCAAAGGTGTGTGCCCAAGTGAGCGAGATAGCATTTCAGAAAAGGTTTGTGTCATGACAAAGGCTGGTTTTTTGGAGCACCGGGTAAAAGGAGATGTGGAACCCTTTGATTATGATGCAGAATGGAGAAGCAATTCCTCTTCTAGGGATAGACCCAAAAAGAACAAGGACATGAACTTGAACAGAGATGTGCACTCCTACGTTCATAGCAGCACCACCAGCGACCTTCCAAAGGCCATGAAAAATGGATATTGTACAAAAAAATTATGTAGGGACCAGCAGTTAGCGTAATGGCTATGCTACTGGACTCCCATGTAGTCGACTGTGGTTTGAGTCCCAGACTTGGTGGCTTAAACTCACACCGGGTGTGTGTGCATGCATGCCCAAGATCCCGAGAAGAGAATGGAGGAGAAGGGATTGTAGCATGGCCATCCCCCCTGGAGGGGGGGTGATTTCTCACTTTCTATCTCTCTGTCTCTGTCTTTCTGACAAAAAAAACCCTCTCCAAACAACAACAATAACAAATTTATATATAGATTTCAAAAAGTTATTACCCCAAAATAAGCTTGTACTTTAATTCAATTTTCCATGAACTTTTTGAAATTCCCACATCTTAAGAGAGCCAAGAGGTAGAAGCAACTCAAGCGTCCATCAGTGAGTGAATGCATAAGCAAAATGTGGTCTATCTATACAATAGATTAGTACTGAGGCCTGAAGAGGGAGGAAATTCTGACACGTACTGAAACATGGGTGAACCTTGAGGATATAATGCTAGGTGAAATTAATCAGTCACAAAAAGGCAAATACTGTATGATTTCACCTCTATGAGTTATCTAAAGCATCTGAATTTGTAGGGATAGAAAGTAGAACAGCGGGGGGGACCAGCAGTTAGCGTAATGTCTATGTCGCTGGACTGCCACGTAGTTGAATGCAGTTCGTTTCCTGGACCCGGCGGTTTAAAACTCACGCTGGGCAAGT